CATCCTCCAGTACTTTGCAAACCAGGAGGAATGAATGCAGGGTGGGTGCGCAACCAGAAGGCTGGTGCTGCTGCAAAACCTGCACTTCCCCAGAGCAAAGCATCCGAAAATCAACTGGGAGCCGGGGGGGGGGGGGGGGAAAGGGGGGGGGGAAATCAACTGGGGGCCAAAGCTCCAGCTGGCCCTGTGAGGAGATGAACATCAGCCCCGAGGTGCCCAAAGGCAGAAGTGCAGGTCCCAGCCTCCAAAATTCCAGGCCTGAGCTCAAAAACCATCCTGGAGGCAGAAATGCAGCCCCAAGTCCCAGGATGCAGCAGGGATGCAGGACAAGAGATGGATCCCACCGAAGCTTTGCCACCTTCGCCCTTTCCCATTCCACGAGCACGGCTCTCACACATCCCCCCCCCCCCCCTCCCCCCCACCCCCAAAACCCACTCCTTCCTCCTGCAGGGATCTGAGCGCTGCTTCCCCAGCGCTGCCGTCACTGCGCCCACGCACAGATTTTGGAGGAGGAGGGGGATTTTATGGGCACCAAAGGAGAAAGCAGAAGGTCTCTGCAATTTGGGCTCAGCGGGGCCGCAGCTTTTCCCCTAAAACATGAACTTCAAGGTCCTGGCTGCTTAAAAAAAACCAACCAAACAAACAAACAAAAATCACCACGTTTTGGATTCGAGACGGAAGGAGAGGGGAAAAAATAATACTAAAATCGCTGCGACCCAGAAGGTGATTGAAAGGAATTGGGAATGTTTTGCTTTTTCCATCTGATCATTTTTTCGGCTGATAAAATGCACACACACCCCTTCGGTCCCCTCAGCTCCCAATGCTTTCTCACAGTTACTGCACAAAGCACAGAGGAGCAACAGCAGAGAGCGTGGAAACTTTTTTTGGAGGGGATTTTGCTCTACGGTCGCCTCTCTGGGTCACCAAGAAGGGATTTTTGTCTTTTAAAAATACTCTTTTCGCTTTGAGTTCTCCGTTCTCTGCCCCTTCCTTCGCTCCTGCTTACACTGTGTTCTTTTCTACGGTGGGGGGGGATGTGATCCTGCTCCTCCCTTGCATGGAAACTGCACTGCAGCTCCATGAGAACAGAAATCCACCGAAGCAGGTTTCCCAGCGCCCAGCTCCATGCCTTACAGCACACAGAAGGGCTGCGTTCGCTCTGCATCCACCTGGAAATGCGCATTGCTTTCCCAGCTCCATCCCCAAGTGCTCCTTCAGCAAAGCCACCACCTCCTCCCAGGTCTGCACAGGGGGGCACGACGTTGGGCTGCTGCAGCACAGCGCAAAGGCACCCTCAGGTTGGGCTTTTTGCTGCCAGGCTTTTTTGCATTTTTAGGCTCATCTTTATCAGCTGAGCGGCAGAAGGGGCCAAAGACACGCAGCCCAGCACCTCCCTTGGCAGAGGGCAGAAAGAAAGCAGCGACGTTCAGCCCCCAAACCCCACACACCACAGTGAAAAGAGAATCAAGAGGGGCGAAAAAAATCCCACCATTTATTTGGGGGGGGGGGTAAAAAACGAGCCTATGCTCTCACTAGCCACAATGGTTTTCATTTTCAACCAGATAAAGCTGAGCCTGTCTCCGAGCACCAGCTCATCCCTTCTGTGCTTGCTTCCTGGTTTGCACACACACGTGGGCATGTGTGGGTGTGCAAGGCTTTGCTTGGCTTTTTGCAACCTCCCTGCAGACCTGGGCACCGAAGCAGAGCTGGGCCGAACGCCTGCGCAGCCCTAAGCCCTAACAGGATAACGAGCTCACAATGAGAGCCTAATGAAGGATTAGCAAAATGCACTTTTCAAGAGATGAAGGCCGTGGGTGAAGCAGCCCGCTTTGCCCCTCCGTCTGCATCCCAGCTGCAGAGCGACGCTCCGCTCCCGTGCCAAAGCCCTCAGCTCCCATTTGGAGGCAACTAATTAACGAGACAACCTCGGCCTTAAGGCAAACAGAGCACAGAGTCAGCCCTCACCTCGCGGAGCTCGGCGCAGCGCGTGCAGAGAGGTCGGGATGCTGGTCCATCCAAAAAGCAAAACGGCCTCCGTTCTAAAACAGAAAGCGACACGGTTGGGGCTGCTTCTTTCTTTCGATGGCCGCAGGGGGTTTTTTTTTACCCCCCTCCCTCCCTCCCCCCAATATCCACGCACACTGGGAAAGTTCTGCTGCTTGATGTTCGCTCACAGCCAGCAGCCCGATGGGGCGCTCTGTGAATGGCCGAGCCCCAGGAACACCCTGAAAACTCACCCCAAATTTCAGCCAAAACCATACGACCAAAGGGATGCGACCCAGATCTGCATCAGAGCCCACGGAACGGAGCGGATGAAAACGTCTGGAGCGAATCCAGATGTTTACCAGTGACGCAGGCAGAGGTATAAATAATGATCTGCGAGGAATTCTCTTTGCAGGCATCTCACCCTTATCAGATCCTGCAGTGACACGGCCCCGTCACCTCCCTGGCCCCAAAAGCCTTGAGAAAACCAGCCGTAAAATGAGAAATAAATACATCCCCAGGTCCGGCCGCGCGATCCCATCCGGGATCCCATCTGCATCCATCCCAGCTTTGAGTCTCGGTGCCACACAAGGATCTCGTGGTGGCGATTCGGAGCTCAGCATCACCTGAGCCGAACCCCCTCCCAGCCTCACGGAGGGTCAGTGCAGGGGGGGGGGGGGGCCCCCCTACAAACACAGCCCCAAAAAACGGTGGAAGGAACTTACAAAAGAAATCATCCGCCCGGCTCCACCAGGCTGCTCATCCCCACTGGTGGGAAAGCCTAAAAATCTTTAATACACAAAATACATGTATGTGTATATGTGTCAAAATAATACATCCCCTCCCATCTTATTCCCCCACCCCCCCTTCCCCAAGATTGCGAAACCAAGAGGGCAGCCAGGGCTTGGAGCTGCAGCATTTCTGAGTTCCTACGGAGTCTGGGCTTTCTGCCACCAGCAACAGCGGCTCTGGGGGTGTGGAAAAAGGGAGGAAAAAAAAAAAAAAAAAAAAAAAAAAAAAAGAAA